AATATAGAACGGGTGGGCGGCGCCATTCAAAACATCTACCATAGTCTGTTTATATCAGTATCTATCTATCTATCACAGTCTATTCATATCTATCTATCTATCTATCTATCTATCTATCTATCACAGTCTATTCATATCTATCTATCTATCATACGCTCAAGCACCAAAGGGACCCTCCACCCAAGACAATACCTCTCTCTCTCTCTCTCTCTCTCTCTCTCTCTCTCTCTCTCTCTCTCTCTCTCTCTCTCTGGAACCTGATAGGGTCATTACCTGACGCCTGAGGCGTCTACAAATAAGTAGTGCTGAGCAACAACGAAGTTTTGTAAAAAATGGAAACGAAAAGGAAATTAATACTTAATGTCCAGAAGAGGCAGTTGGGAATTCTGGGGTGCATAATGAGAAAGGGAGGCTTAGAGAATCTGATACTCACGGGACAGATAGACGGCAAGATGGACAGAGGAAAACAACGCATAGCTTAGTGAGCTTTAGTAAATGGATCGCGGAACAGGGCTTAGGAGAAATATCGCCTATGTCCTGAAGGGACACGGCACAAGAAGAAGAAGATAGATAGATAGATAGATAGATAGATAGATAGATAGATAGATAGATAGATGTGAACAAACTGACATAGATAGATAGATAGATATGAACAGACTGACATAGATAGATAGATAGATAGATAGATAGATAGATAGATATGAACAGACTGACATAGATAGATAGATAGATGTCCATGTCCATTCATTTGATACAATGTACAGCAGAAATACCTCCCACATTTTAAACTGTCACCTGTGTGGTGTTAGTAAACACAGGCAAGTGGCAATGGTGTTTTCATCTAGCTAATGTCTTACCATTTTATTGTCAGATACCATTTTTAGATAACATCTGTAACCATCATGGCTTGGACCGGTGTACACCGTGCATTTGCTGTTAGAACATTTTTTAAAGACTGGTGAATCTGTAATTCCAACATAGAAAGTTTTTCGTGCTCATTTCATGTTACGTCGGAATAATGCTGATCCGGATAGAAAATTGATACTGCTATGGTTTGAACATTTCAGGGTCACAGACTCAGGGTTTAAAAGATAGTGAAAAGACCTCAAAGCGCTCAAACTTCCTGGAAAACTTTGGAAATTGTCTACAAAAGTTTATGGCGAGAACAGACCACTATTTGGATGATGTCACTTTACAAACCAAATTAATAAAAACTGCATATTTTTTTAATAGAGTTCCCTTGATCTTTTTGTCAATATTTAAAATATAGAATGTATTTCTGCTGCGTCCTGTAATTAGATATCGATGTCCATTTTTTTTTTCTTTCAATTTCACTTTGTGTTGAAACTTGACTAATGCATGGAATAATAATGCAACACAAAAGGTACTTAGTACAAAATGTATTGAAAGAAGAAAGTGTACACAATATTTACATATAGTCTTTTGTATATTCCTGGTAAGACCGTTCCTGGAGAATGTGTTGACTGAGTCGCAGTCGGGCGGAGTCTCTGGTTGAATCTCTTGATTCCTCCCTCTCTTCCCGGTACCAACCATATTTATATGGTCGGTACTCCACTATGCAAATTAGGTGGATCCTACCACAACACTTTGTTATCTGCTGAGAGAGTGACGTCCATTATTTGACGGATTTTTAAATCTTTGTATAAAATAACTTCATATTTTCTGGCTTTTAATAGTGAAATGTTTGAATTTTACTGTTCCATTCCTTCTGATGACTTATAATTTATGTAAATATCGTTGGTTTGCATGGTAAAATGACTTTGTATTCACAGTTCTTAGAGAATCGCCATTCCCACCCACTCATATTTATCTTTAAATTGTTTTTTTTTTAGCCATCTATTCTTGCATCTTCGTCTCAGTAAAAGCAATATTTACTATTCATCGAACTTTTTTTTTACAAAGCACTTCCGAAGTGTTCAACGTGCTCCAACTAATAAGTTCAAAACACTTCAAATACCTCAGTGTATGGATCAGTTATGAAAAATTTAGTCTAGTAGATGAGGAAATGTTACATAGAATAGACTTCATCAGGGATAGTTTTGTCCAACACGGCAAGATGCTACAAACCCAACACATTAACCTTGTCATAACATGTCGACTACAAACCTATCCTTTTCAGGGCATCACTTATCAACGACTACAAACCTATCCTTTTCAGGGAACACTTATCAACGACTACAAACCTATCCTTTTCAGGGCAACACTTATCAACGACTACAAACCTATCCTTTTCAGGGCAACACTTATCAACGACTACAAAACTATCATTTTCAGGGCAACACTTATCAACGACTACAAACCTATCCTTTTCAGGGCAACACTTATCAACGACTACAAACCTATCCTTTTCAGGGCAACACTTATCAACGACTACAAACCTATCCTTTTCAGGGCAACAACGCTCTTCTCACCCTTTACAGGAACACACAGATACTTGGTGCCTAGTGCAGCTTAGCCTTATTTGTGTCGATGTATTTTCTTTAACAAAAATATACTAGGCAATATATTTTTTTACTCTAGACTTCGTTTTATTTGTTGTTGTCTTCCGTTATTCAATATCTGTTTGCATGCCAATATACCACGCGCAACAACCTAAGAATTCGAGTCATCTTCTTCAATATCTCCGTTGAATCGAAATGGCGCCTAACCAGTTCAAAATGTCTAAATTATCAACTTTATACTACCGTTTTCTCAGATCAATGACTAAAAATGGTTTCCATAAAATTAATCCTCTAGGTTTTAAAGAAGACAACCTTTCATCAGATCTTATAGACTGGTGCTACAGAATCACAAACAAAGAGCTTTACCAAATAAAGAAAACCACTTTGAAGACTTCCAACAGCAGCAACAACTAAAATGGATTGCACATTTAACTAGAAGGGAAATAATAACATAATCTAGATAGTGAAGTTCCCACCTTAAATAAAACCTTTGGTAGGAAACTCCAATACTAGTCCGTCCTGGGTATGACGATAAACAAGCAAAGGCCTCTGATCAGAAGGTTTTGAGGAGCGTGGAACCATCTCTTAATTTCTGGTGTTCCCAGGTCCACCCTTACCCGGCGTGGTAGCACCGGCTAGGTTCCAAGCTATGGGTAAATAGTTAACCCCCAAAACGGGGTTAAAACACTATGAATGTGTAAAAATAAGTTTTAATACCAGAAATAGCCTTGTAAAAATTATTACAAGAATACATTTTTGAAAAAAAAAATAATAGCTATACATTTAAAAAAAATATTGCCAAAAATCATGTCGGCGTTAAATAATCCATTGAGGTTGATATGACATAAAACAAAACAAACCTAACCAATACTAAAAGTAATTTTAACAGTGAACTTGAGAAACCTATTTTCCTAAAAAACTGTTTTAAGAGAAAGATTTTATTAATTCTAACTGACAGTTTGTTACTGTCGGTTTAAATTTACAAAATCTTTCAACTATTTGCTTGATGAATGACGAATATTTTTTTTTAATGGAAACCGTTGATATGATTGTTTTTTTTTTTTATGGAAACCGTTGATAAAACTGTTGTTGTTTTTTTTAATGGAAACCGTTGATATGATTGGGTTTTGGGGTTTTTTTTTATAGAAACCGTTGATATAACTGTTTTTTTATGGAAACCGTTGATATATCTGGGTTTTTTTTTATATAGAAACCGTTGATATGACTGTTTTTTTAATGGAAACCATTGATATGTTTTTTTATGGAAACCGTTGATATAACTGTTTTTTTATGGAAACCGTTGATATGATTCTTTTTTTTTTATAGAAACCGTTGATATGTTTTTTTTTTATGGAAACCGTTGATATGATTGGGTTTTTTATTGAAACCGTTGATATAACTGTTGTTTTTTTTTTAATGGAGACCGTTGATATGATTGTTTTTTGTTTTGTTTTTTTTAATAGAAGCCGTTGATATAACGTGTTTTTTTATGGAAACCGGTGATATATCTCAGTTTTTTTTTTATAGAAACCGTTGATATGACTGTTTTTTTTTAATGGAAATCATTGATATTTTTTTTTTATGGAAACCGTTGATATAACTGTTTTTTATGGAAACCGTTGATATGATTCTTTTTTTATAGAAACCGTTGATATATCTGTTTGTTTTTTTTAATGAAAACCGTTGATATGACTATTACTGTTGCGATTGTCACTGTGGTGTTCCACATTTTCTTCCATCTTCTGGGAAGGTCTTCTTAATTTTCTAACTTCTCATTCTTTTCCAATTTCCACTCTGCGTTTTTTGCTACGGCAACAATCTCGATAACTGACGAATCTTCACTTTGTCCACAATAACTAAATCCAATATCCTGGAGTGGGAAAACATTTAAATTTCAATGTTTCATAAAATTATCCGATTTTTCTTATTCCCAAGTACAGCTTCTAGTTTGTGCATGATCAAATACAATTCGTTTGCATTATTCCCAGTGGATCACCGTTCCCACCTAGCGGTATCTCTACTTTTTTTATATATCTTCCGAGATAACTTCTTTTGCTTATTATAAAATGGTTTCATTTCTTTATCCGCCCAAGCATTATTTAACATTCTACTGCGTCCTGTCTGTCCAGGCTTTTATACAGTTTGTTTTAATACATTTAGTGATAAACACCCATTTTTTTTTCTTATCAGGTGTCCTGTGTAACCGTTGCCGATTAATCTGCAATTCTTTTCGCTTGTCTTCTCGAACATTCTATTTCTCATCTTCGACTTCTCGTTTTAGTTTTTTTTTTCCTGGTCCAAGATTTGTTTGTTCTCCGATCTGTTTTGTTGCAACTTCTATTGACTGTGTTTTGTGTATTGTTAGCCAAGTTGACACATTGATGAGCACTCTTGATTTGTTCCTTTTCACATAAGTAACTTCTTCTTCGTCTTATTATTATTATTATTATTATTATTATTATTATTAATATTATTAATATTATTATTACGCTAGTCAAACAGGTTTTGCAACGCACCATGAACAAATAGGCGATACAAATGCAGGAAAGAAAATGGCACAAGAAAGAAAATGAAAAAGAAAGTACTATCAAGTGAACGAATAAAACAAATGAAAAATAAAACTCCCACTCATTCTACAATATCTGAAATAGAAATAAAACCAGCCATGCAGAGATGAGAAGAACGGAGGCGAAAACGTTCACTTTTGATAAGCGAATAATGACGTCTGGGGACAGTTTTTTTCTTTATTTATTTTCCTGATTAAGCGCTTCGAAGACGACCAGAAACTTACACGAAAAAAACAAAAAAAAAAACAAAAAAAAAACAATTAGAATATTGTCTATCAGGGTTGATCTCATTGCTCAACTGTTAAATTACTTTGTTGACAATTGTGCAGCGTCAGTTTAACTACTTACAAAGTTTGACTTAGCTTGGTAAAAGACGCTAGTATGGTGGGACACACACTGGCCATCGAACTTATTACATTATCGAATTGGTTTACGAGACGAGTTTGCGAATCATCGTACTACAATAAGTATTTACATTTGTATTGAGCAATCTTAGATAGGTCTGCTACTAGTGTTGCGTTCTGTGTCGTCTCGGGATCCCTACGCCACTACATAAAACGGTATCACCGAAGGTAATTTACTTTTGGTATTCGATTTATTAAAAGTGGGCGGTTTGAATTCTAAGAAGCAGTAAGAGGAATGCCGTAGCAGGGCCGCATGTCGCACGTTGGCTCAACGTCCCTCCGGTATTAGCCGGTGGCAAGCCTGGGTGTGGGAGGTATATCGAAGCTTCAGAATTCTTGAGACCATCTGATGAATTCGCGCTGTTTTGGACTTATATTCAAAACCACCAAAAAAGGCAATCCGACACTCTCAAAATGTCCGGCCCACGAGGCACTCCAGCCGATCGCTGACCATTCTGGCTTGTAACACAAGGCTTTAAATTTGGATCAGCTTGTGATGTTCGAACTAATTGCAGTAATAACCTGGGAGGCTATATTGCTAACCACTGATCTACAACGACGCGCCCAGATTGGTATTTTCTTACCTTTTTTCTTCTTTTTTTTTTTTTAATCATTTCATCCCAAACAAAGCGATAATGCCACTAATACGCAAGGCGTTATTGGAAGTGAAAAGGAACGAGAAGACATTAGAAGGAGACGGAAACCTAATTCAAAGCAGGAAGGAAAGAATAGACCACTACTCCTATTCAATAGAAAGGGAAGGAGTGTGAATTGGGCGATAGGCGAACCTATCTACTCATTTGGAGGAGAAAACAATTAGTAAGTAAAATCTCAGCGTTCAGGCGGAAACGTTAGAAGTATAAAGTTGATGTAGACCTTAGAAGGAACCGGAAACTCAATCCTAAAAATGAAACAAGGGAGAAATCTCTAGTCCTGTTCAAAAGACGGGGAGGAGACGTTAGAAATATAGGATTCAAGTCGACCTTAGAAGGAACCGGAAACTCAATCCTAAAACGGAAACAATAGATAATGCCTTTCTTACCTTAATTTAAGTCACAGTTTGGAGACATCCAGTGAGGATCGAATGCACTATAGAAATTGCCTGGGAGACTTTATTGCTAACCACTGCTTTACAACCAAGCGCCGAGATTGAAATTTAATAACCTTAGCTTAATCTTGCATAACGTCACATATTTTGGGGACACCTAGTAGGGATCGAACCCACAACAAGAGTAATTTATTGAATATTAGTCTTGACGTGGCCCACTTTGAATACGATCTATTCAGTCGACTATTTGATAGATTAGATATTGACAAATTCAAGTAATAATATATTCGGAGGCAGATCAATAAGTTCGTAACCTAATACAGCTATCGTTTCCTTAGTTGAGATTAGTTTGAAAAATGCTAAAAAAAGTATGTGGCACCCAGTAAAGATTGAATTTGTTTGTCAAAATCTGAAAATAACTGCTAAAAAGCTCCCCTCTCCAAATTTATAGAGAAATCCTGCAGATGCATGCTGTGATTTCTTCTTAACCGATAAAAAATGGACAATTCTGGGTTTTCTCTCCATATTTTGTCCTCTGTTGCCTCGAAATCAGAAGGATGTAACTACTTGACTGTATCCCTTTTGCAAGTGAACACTACTCTTATTTTGTGATCTTTTTTGCTTTATTATTTTCTTATAGTTGCTTTACTTTTGACTTATATATATATATATATATATATATATATGGTATAGAATGACAATTGTAAAAAAATCTTAGATTTTGCCGACGCGTTTCGTCTTCCGACTTTTGAAGGCAAAAATGAAACGTTTTTTGTTGTTATAGTTTTTGTTTGTTATACAACTGATCTGAGAATTTAACTATCTATATATATATATATATATATATATATATATATATATATATATATATATATATATATATATATACAGCCAGACACCAGCACATATGATTTGATTCTTGTGGTGAAGGCTTTGTTCGAGCCAACCACACTTTTTGAATGGCTGAATACAGAGACCTGGTGCACTACGTACCACAAGGTTCCCAAACACCGCTCTGCAGGTTTTGAATTCAAAGTTGTCCTTCTCCTTGCAATGCATAGTACCCAGTCTATCCTTCTAATTGCCCATAGCTGGAGGGAGAAGAAGAGTGTTCATGCCTTTCCCAAGGATATTAGCACGTAAGTGAATGTAATGAATTCGACTGGAATTTGAACTCGGCTCTCCGATTCCTCAATCCGAGCCACTATCCATTACTCCACCGTGCCTATATATATATTGCTTTGTCTCATGCTATTTTGTTCTTTTTTAGTTCTCTTATTTTTTATTGAGAATTCTTGTCGATTACGCATAATCATTGGCAGTTATTCTACAGATTATGGGCCCAGCTTGTTTCCATTTCATAAGAATATGACTAAGCAGACTAACTCGCCAAGCATTGTCCTCTTAGTCTGGTAAAAAAGGTAGGAATCCACCTCTTCTCCCCCAGATATGGGTTAAAAGTAAGACTTGTATCACTAAATCAATATTATACCCCACCAAGAAAAAAAAATTCTTACAATATAAAGATATTTTCTGGCTTTAAATAACCTGAAAAGGGTTGATAAGCTGTAGAAAACAAATCAATCAATTAATCATTAGGTTACGGATTTTTGTCATCATTTTCTGAAACCAACGTGCTCGGTTCAATAACTCTTGGACTATTACAAAGATTGTGCTGCGCCAATATTTTGTAGATTGGTGACTTTCTGCATCCAACAATCTCAGGTTCTGTTCGTAAATAGTTTTGTACAGCCCACGCTTTTGTGCCACAAAAATGACTACGTCTCTTCAATTAGAAATCCACTCATTTATTCCAGTACTCCCTCTCACAGAGAGAGAGAGAGGGGGGGAGAGAGGAAGAGTGATGGGGTGAGAGAGAACCTCAATGATCGCATTCGCTATGTTGAGTTTATTTTTCTTTTTATTCTATATTTAGAGTGAGAATTTATCTTATTTCTTTCTTTCCATCATTGTCATTGCAGGCCAATGACGCGACGTCAACAAAGAAATGATAATTTGACTTCATTTTTCTCATTATTGCTTTTCTAAATTTAGTCTCCCGAACACTGTCCCACTTCATGTTTATAACATCAACACTCTTCTTGCTTGACTTTCGCTTTGAGAGAGAGAGAGAGAGAGAGAGAGAGAGAGAGAGAGAGAGAAAGTGTGTGTGTGTGTGTGTGTTAACGCCCTGTGTGTTAACAGATAATTTGCCCTTATAATTATGCTTAGGAAAGGCTAACGGTGAAATGAAATGGTTTCGTAAGCCAAAACTGAGGAGTTCGAATTCCAGTTGAATCCATTACATTCATTTACGTGCTAATCGCCTTGGAAAAGGTATGAATCCTCTTCTTCCCACCCCACTCCAGTTATGGTTAAATAGCAGGACAGACCGGGTTCTATGGCCTTGGATAGCAACTAGTCTACCGCAGAAAGAAATGGCAACCTACTGCAGGAAAAAACTGCCACGTCAGTCATGTATCGAAAGATACATGATCGCCTAAGCGTCTATCACGCATGCCACATATCTGACTGAAGCCAAAATTGATCTATCTATCTATCTATCTATCTATCTATCTATCTATCTCTTTTAATACCTAACGATTTCAGTCGATCTATCTATCTATCTGTTCATATCTATCTATCGATCTTAGTCGATTCGTCTATCTATCTATCTATCTATCTATATATATATATATATATCTCAGTCTGTTCATATCTATCTATCGATCTCCGTCGATTCATCTATCTATCTATCTATCTATCTATCTATCTATCTATCTATCTCAGTCTGTTCATATCTATCTATCGATCTCCGTCGATTCATCTATCTATCTATCTATCTATCTATCTATCTATCTATCTATCTCTATCTTTGTTTCATATATATATATATATATATATATATATATATATATATATATAATGTATTTCCCAGTCGCTACATAGTTTCAACCAACCGCACTACAGCATTGACAACATCCGATTCGTGTTTTTACCTTCTTCATTTAAGTGCAAACAAGAAAGACTAAAGTCAGAATTAATAATGGTATCCTTAGAATCTTTCTATAGAACCACATTTCTGTTGTTTTTAAGTCTCTTCCTCATCTTTGGGGAGATTGTCCAGAATTCACTGCCATACAAGATGACAGATATCCCGTAACAGTTCAGTACTCTTTTCTTTGCTTCCAACGAAAATTTTCTATCTCTTAATACTCTGCTTAGCTTTTGGAATGCATCTTTGTCTGTCTCAATACGTCTTCGGATCTCAGTGTCGCACTTTCCGTCCTCTGTTAGAACACTTCCCAGATATTTCAGTTTCTGTACATGCTTGATTTTAGTATCCCCGACCTGTAATTTGCATTTTGAGCTCATCCTTTTGCCGATAATCATGCTTTCTGTCTTTTTGTAGTTTATGCTTAGTCCTTTCTTCTCGCTTTCCTTCGTTACCTTCTGTAGGAAGTTTAGTAGTTTCCTTTTTGTGTTCGCTATCAGTGTTGTATCATCTGCATATCTTATATTGTTAAGATTGTGGCCGTCTATAATGAATCCTGGTAGGACTTCTAATTCTCTCAGTATTGCTTCGCTGTATAGGTTGAATAAATCCGGTGGAATGACACAACTTTGTCTTACACCTCTTTCTATTTTTGCATATCTGCTGAACTCATCTTCTGTCCGTATGCAGGCTGTTGCTGCCAGTGTAGATTCTTGATTATTCTAATGTCTTTCCCGAATATGTCAAGGTTGCTGAGCAGCTCTAACAGATCTTTGTGGCGTACCCTGTCGAACGCCTTTGCGTAATCTACAAAACGCAGGAACACGTCCTTCTACATTTGTATTGCTCTTTTTGATAGCATTCTAAGCATAAATATTGCCTTCCTTGTTCCAGTGTCTTTGACGAACCCACACTGTTCTTGTCCTATCTCAGGTTTGATTCTTCTGCGCGATCTATTCATCAGAATTCGGGTGATGAGTTTGTTATATGGCTCATTAGGCTGATTTTCCGGCAGAGTTCGCATTCGTTTGCGCCTTGTTTCTTAGGCGGTGATATGAAAAGAGATCTGCTTAGGTCTTCCGCTATGTCACCACTGTTGTAGATTTCGTTTATTGTTTCTGTGATCTTGTCTATGCCAAAATCGCCTAAGGCTGCCAGCAATACTCTTACAATTGCATCTGGCCCTGCCGCATTTTTTCTGTTCAATTTGGCCAGTGTAGCTTCCACTTCGATTTTTAATATTTTCGGTCTGTGTATTGCCTATTGTTCATGTGGAAAACTACTAGGCCAGAACATCTTACAGTAATACAACATCTGGATAAAACAAACCCACAAAAAACAATAACAACAAAAGATTCTCGGGAAGAATGAGTCTCACTTCATTGTCTATTTGTTATGGTCCGGTTCCTTGTACCACGGTGATAGTCCAAGGTAGAACCAATAAAGAAGAACTCGAATACGGATATGGAATGATACAGATATATTACAAACAGGAATATATACAGAGAAGTAGAAAGTGTTAGTACGAACAATCAGGTTTAGTAGTAATTGTCTGAACACGACTCTGTTTCTGACTGCCTCTGACTCGACTGAATGACTCGCTCGCTCTGACTGACGGACTTCACTCCAGACTTCAGACTGAATAGTATTTAGTCACCCCCCCCACGAGGGCATCATGTGGCACAAGGCCGGTTTAACGTGGAATCTCCGAGCCCGTGGGTTCGGCCAAAAATATGCCCCGTATGAACGGGTTCAGGGTCAGTTTACCTCCCCGAAAAGAGACTCCGCCCTTCGGCGTAGCCTCGTTCGGGTTCCTCCCCGCCCGAAGGCAGAGAATTCAACCGATCATCGGACTTCGGGGTAAACTCCCTGCTTCCTCTTGAGGCGCAGTATTTATTACGTATGGAATGCTCCATTATGTTATTATGGTTAAGGTCCCATAACAATATTTCTCCTCTCATATATATATACATATATATATATATATATATATATATATATATATATTGTCATCTGCAGACAGACTGTTTCGCTGTTTCACAGCTTGTCAGTGTGGCTAGACATCCGATTGCCTAAAGCCGGGATCGAAAACCGATTGATTTGGCATCGGTCGGAGATTTTACCACTAAGCTATCAAAGCCCGGTAGAGGGGAAAGTGAATTTTTGCGTATTTATTCTTTTTGAATAAACATTCCTATGACCTAGAGAGCTCAATTCATGGAAGACCTTTGCATTATCAGCAGTAGTAGTCACTGTTTACAAATTCACGCTTTCGATCCAGAGTGCTAAATTTTTCGGGGGCGTATATATTGTCATCCACAGACAGACTGCTCATCAGTGTGGCTAGACATCCGATTGCCTCAAGCCGGGATCGAAACCAGACTGATTTGGCATCAATCGAAGATTTTACCCCTAATCTATCAGCGCCCGGAGAAGGTGAAATTTTGCGGATTTATTCTTTTTGAATAAACACGCCTGTGACCTAGAGAGCCCAATAAATTGTTTATTCGCAAATGCTCTTGTAGCAACGCTGCCCAAGAAGATGTATCCCATATCAGTGGCGTGTCCTGAAAAAAAAAAGCTTGGGTAAGAAAATAAAAGTTATGATCGTAGACAAAAATAAATAATTTCTATTGATTTAACATAGGAGTAATAAAATAAAATACCTTAATTTACCATTTTAAACACAGTTCAATTGAAGTCTTCTGTTAGCAAATCTGCAGCAGTTGTCAAACGCTCTGTCTCCTGCATGACTTTAACGTTTCCTCAAATTTATCACATAATTCTTCTGTATCATTTAAACATGGAATATGGAAATTGAATTTTGCGTTTCAGAGGTAGAGATTTTCAAAGACAAATACTTGCTTACAAGATGCAAGTGTTTATTTTTTTTAAAGTGTAAATTCTCCGATTCTCCCTCAAACAACTGAAATAAATAATGTTAAACTTAATAAAGATTTATTTTTTTAAATTTTGAACAAAATAATTGGTTCCGCTTTAGAGTGTGTCCTACCAATCAGTTTTTGCTTAAGTGTGTATCCTACCACAACATTTGTATCCGACATTATTGCAGTAATGTCCCGACATTTTCTCGATATCTTAATGACATTCAGAATGTTTTTATTTAAAGGGTTCAAATAACTTGTTTTATGATTTTTTTAGTCAATTTTTTTATTTTCTATTTTTTTCTATTTTAAATTTTATAATACGACAATAAATGGCATCCCTCCTTTCGTTTTTGCTTTTCCCCTTACGTTAAATATTGGAGGATACAAATTTGGTGGTAGGATACACTGATCGGCAGGACACACAACAAAGCGGCAACGAATAATTTTTATAAGGTAAGTAATGTGGACTTTAGCGTATTTGGTAAGTTCACCGCCGTTAATTCACCTCGGGGAAAGTTCACCTCGGGGAAAGTTCACTTCGGGGAAAGTTCACCTCGGGGAAAGTTCACCTCGGGGAAAGTTCACCTTGTGGAAAGTTCACCTCGGGGAAAGTTCACCTTGGGGAAAGTTCACCTCGGGGAGAGTTCACCTCGGGGAAAGTTCACCTCGAGGAAAGTTCACTTCGGGGAAAGTTCACCTCGAGGAAAGTTCACCTCGAGGAAAATTCCCCTCGGGGAAAGTTCACCTCGGGGAGAGTTCATCCCGGGGGAAATATCTCCACAAAAGGAAAAAAAAAAAAGGAGCAATTTTTAGTCCGTTCTAATTTCATTGATCAACGCATGTAAAATATTTTTGAAATAGGTCAAAAGTAAATTAGAACTGGCATTATACGTATGAATTTAATTAATTTAATAATTAACGACTTCAGCTAATATACAAAAATAGAAAGGAGCTTAAGGCAAGGATGCGTTTTCTCACCTGACCTGTTTTAACCTACACAGCGAGGCAATCCTGGTAGAATTGGAAACCCTACCGGGATTTAGAATTGGCGGCCACAATCTTTACAACATAGGATACGCAGATGACACAGTACTGACAGCAGACACTTAAATGAAATTACAAAACCTCTTACAGAAAGTAGCGACGGCGAGTGTGAGGAAGGTACTAAGCATAAACTACAAGAAAACAGAATGAATGGTCATCAGTAAGCGGATGAGCGCGAAATGCTATTTGCATGTCGGGAACATTAGAATCAAGCAGACACGGAAGTTTAAATATCTGAGAAGCGTCTTGACAGAGAACGGTAAATGCGACACTGAGATCCGTAGACGTATTGGGATGGCCAAGGACACATTCCACAAGCTGGGCAGAGTACTGCGAGACAGGAAGATTTCTTTGGTAACAAAGAAAAAAATACTAAACCGTTACATGACATCTGTCCTTCTTTACGGCAGCGACTGTTGGATGATTTCCTCAAACATGAAGAAGAGACTCGAGGAGACGGAGATGTGGTTCTACAGAAGGATGCTAAGGATATCATGGACCGAGCGTGTGAGCAACGATGAGATCTTAAAGAGGTTGCAAACAAGGAGGAGGCTTATACTTAACAAGAAGAGGCAGCTGAAGTTTCTAGAACACATAATGAGGAAGGAGGGCCTGGAGAATCTGATACTCACGGGTCGAATAGAGGGAAAGAAAAAACAACACATGACATACGGCCTTAAGCAAGTGGATGACAGAACGTGGTCTGGAGGACGTGGCAGAGGGAAGGAATTTGTTGAAAGCTGCAAGGGATAGAGGGTGTTAAACCGTTCCATAGGCTCACTTACTCAGCAAATGATACCATGTTTCACCCTGTTATCTAACTCAACCTGATATGGATGAGACATTTCCTAGATGTGTGGATTACAGGGTGGTTGCCCGGTTTTAGGTCAATGTGATCTTCACCCACGAAATTGATCCGGGTACATGTTTATTAGGTATTTTGTGGGGTTGATCTGAACTGGAGCTTTTTGAATGGCGCAATCCGACGTTACCAGCCCCAGGTCTCTGAGCGAGGGTAATCCACGTATAGTAGGTCCCTCTGAGGTTATCACATAGAATTTCAGTGTTTTCCACTTCCCTTTGTAGGCATGTTGTATTTTAATGGACCCATGTTGACTGATGCTGAAGCCATTATATGCAGTCAATACAGTTGACTCATTGCATGTTGCATCAGGAAGTGGCTCTCCGGAAGGGCTAATTTTTTTCCGGAAACCTCTTAAGGGACGTACGTAAAGGGGGGGTATTTCCTTCAGCTCCCGTGTCAGTCTTGGCCCTGAGTTAATGGTTGCCTAGTTGGTTGGGAAGTCTGCAATGAAGATCTGCAAAAGCCTTGATCCGAGTGTCTTCTTTGTTGTGTAGCTGAATCGTATCAAAGGGCATTTTGTCGAAACGTTCATATAACTCGTCACCGTCGTCCTGGCAGGCAGGGATTTGTTGAGTAGACACAGTTACTGCGTTTCCTATCCTGGTGCCTGTGTTTGTGATTTCCTTGCATTGAGTCAATTGCTTCTTCCACCGCGAGGAAAGTTGGCTCTCTGTGCCGCGCCAGGAAATTTTTCTCCCCTGAATCGATACTTCAAATATACAAAACAACCATTCGCCCTTGCATGGAGTATTGCTGCCATATATGGGCTGGAGCACCTTCTGCTTACTTCGGAGTTCTTGACAAGATCCAGAGAAGGATATGTAATCTAATTGGCCCTGATCTAGCGTCTTGTTTGCAGTCACTCCCTCACAGACGCGCCGTCGCCTCTCTCTGTCTTTTTCTACAAATACTTCCACGGTAACTGCTCTGATGAGCTGCTCTCTCTGGTTCCCAGACTCCATGAAATCAAGCGCCCTACGAGGCTGGCATCCTGCTCACCCTTACACCGTAGAAACCTTCAAATGTAGCCGTCTCTTCTACTCCAATAGCTTCATCCTCGCACCTCTCGCCAGTGGAACACCCTCCCCAATTACTGTTTCCCTGAAGCTATAATCTCCAACTATTTAAATGTAATGTCAATCGACATCTCCAATTACCTTGATCTACCCACTATCCTTCTCCTCTTCCTTTCTCCTATCACTCTTATATGCTCTCGCTCCAAATCTTCCGCAACCCCCTGCATCCTAGTGGCTTCACGCCTTGCTTGGGGCACAATGCTTAAAAAAAAAAAAAAAAAAAAAAATCCCCGAGGCCCTGGTTTAAATTTTTGGCTCTTTTTCGTCGTGTACGTTTGAGCGTGCCTTTCTGTGTTCTCTTTTTTGTTGTTACATACTTTTGCCAAATGATTTTTCCGTCCACATGCTGAACATGTAGTACACCAAGCGTGACATTTACATTTACGATGGAAGTGAGTGTTGCTGCATCGTTTGCAAAGATTGCATATAATTGTATTGATTTCCTGGCTCTTTCCGTCTTGGATTTTGGCCAGTTGCTTCATATGATTAAGAGAAGTGTTGTGGTAGGATCCACCTAATTTGCATAGTGGAGTACCGACCATATAAATATGGTTGGTACCGGGAAGAGAGTGAGAGGAATCAAGAGATTCAATCCAGAGACTCTGCCCGACTGCATTATTATTCCATGCATTAGTCAAGTTTCAACAAGAAGCTTCATGGATTCCACAGATATTCAGGACTTCTTGAATGCAACTCCAGGTGATTCATTTCTGTAATAGTCTGCTATATTAACTGTTCTTCGGTTTCCTGGGTGTCCCGGAAATTGTATTTTTTTTTTTTTTTTTTTTTGCTTCTAACCTGCACCTAGCTGTGAAATTCTTAATGGTTTCCGTAGCACTTCGTGCATATTGTCGCAGGTCAAATCGTGTTCCTCGAATTTCTGCCAAATAACTTCTGGGTTATTTTTGTCGGCTTCGTTATTGTTGAAACTTGACTAATGCATGGAATAATAATACAACACAAAATGTACTTAGAACAAAATGTATTGAAACAAGAAAGTGTACACAATATTTACATATAGTCTTTTGTATATTCTTGGGAAGACCGTTCCTGGAGAATGTGTTGACTTAGTCGCAGTCGGCAGAGTCTCTGGATTGAATCTCTTGATTCCTCCCCCTTCTCTTCCTGGTACCAACCATATTTATATGGTCGGTACTCCACAATGCAAATTAGGTGGATCCTACCACAACATTTATCGAAAATCCACGAGTTGAAACTTCTCAGACCTTCTTCTCCAGCTAGCAAAAGAATGTGGTCAACCTGTTTGCCAGTTGGTATGTTTCTGACATGGAAGTAGAGGTTGTAAAGCTGTTTTGAAAAATCCGAACGAATCCACCAGGTTTGTGGACGTCCAGCACATAACTGGTTCGCACGTGTTTGTAGCCATTGCGACTAACATTGTTGTGAAGCACGGAGACACTAGATATGTAATACTGTAAAGCACTTACTTGTACAGCCGTGGTTTTGTTTCACTGAAGAGTGTTTGAGTGGCAGTTCCTTTTTCTTTTCTCTTCCGTGCTAATTACTTTTTTAAATAAAAAAAATGGCGACGTTCGGTAAGTATTTACTCTGTCCCCCGACTAGGACGAGATGTGATACAAAGTCTATTTTTAGGTGGGGACCCGAGCGCGTACACCCGGGACAGGAACAAAAATTCCCTTCAGCACTCGCAACCGTCGGTTGCGCTGGTCTCGGTGCGAACACCGATCCCTCCCTCTGGTGCAATGGGAGAGCGCGACCTCGGGCAGCTGTTCCCCAGGGCTGGGCATCTCTTCAGTATTATTTTCCCAGTTGCCCCTCTGTCCTTTGACAGAGAAGCCACGTTCGGTAAGTCTCCATGTGGTATCGCTTCTGCGTGTAGTAGGCCTCGTTATTCCTGTCAGAGGGGTTTGAAGTCTGTTCAACTTGAAACATTGCTTTATATATATATATATATATATATATATATATATATATATATATATATATTGTGTGTATTTAGGCACTATATTTTCATTAATACACGTTTCATTAAATAATATAGACAAGTGTTGTCTATTTATTTTATGTAAATTTTTTCGTAACATCTGATAAGTTTAATAACATTATCGTTGAACGAAGAAAGAAATTCACAATATTGATCCATATTTTTTAATATAATCTAAGCTTTCGGCTTACTTAAGCCATTATCAAAGATGTCAATTACAACATATTAAACAATATACGGACACGACAGTGATTATAGTCTGTCAATGTTTATATAGATGATTTCTAAGCAACGATAAACACGCGTATTTAAGACGATAGAAGCGAAAATCGCACCGCATCTCATGACGTCACACATGAGCACACGAGAGTGAATTGGAGAATGAAGTATGGAAAGCCGTTGGTATAAACCAATGGCTTCTGTTACCAATTATAGACATTTAAGAATATTTGTAGAGATGGCATAATTGATTTTGTTTAGGTTGGGTTCCAACTGTTTGATGTATAATGCTTTAAGGATTTTTAGTTTTTGTCTATTGTTTTCATGTCGAAGTATAATTGTATTATGGCATCTCTACAAATATTTACAGGTAAGACCCGCTTTGTAATGCACACAGTATCAAACCATCCTCCGTCCCATCTTATTCCATTGTTAAGAAGGACGTTCCATTCGGTGAGGTTCTTCCCAATGGACGCGGCATTGTGTAATAGATTCCCAAGTGGATACTTCCCGTCTATTATAATCTTAATCTTTTCGATTCTAGGCTGAACCGTTATCTATTCTACATATTATTCTACAGTTCTTACGACCATAAAACCACCCCATTCAGTAATCCTCTGTCTTGAGTGGCTCTCGACCTTTA